GTAGCATATTTAAAGAGATGTCTGTACCACCGACTGATCACATCGACGTCATTATGTCGTTGAAAATGCACTAGACCCTGATGTGTGTTCCGTCAAGTTATAAAGCACGCGCCTTCATTGTGACGGTCTGTGACCAATACACAAACAGCCTTTTGAGGGGACATATTTAAAGGACAAAGTTATAGAACAGAGCATAATGAACCAGCTAACTTTTTCGTTTAAAAATGCCTTTCAAAACCTCTTAAAAATTTTGGAAGATAGTTAGAATAAAGCCGATACTTGTAATTGATGATGAGTGCAAAACAAAGGGAAAAAACGGACTACTCACAGTATTATGTGAAACAATTATTCCCTGGTAACAGATAACGCACTCTAAACACTAAGCTACTGAGAGACTTATGTTAAGCACTTATATATGTGTATATATATGTGACTCGCTTCTTACATACTGCTTAGATGAGGAATTTTAATGAGTACGGGAAAGTCGTTGATCTGAAACTGAACCTGTCAAGAATGATTAAAACATCTTTTAGTGTAACTAAGCACCCACGGGGGAATGCTTTAGGGTATCTTTAGATCTGGAAATATTTAGCAATTTCAAGCAGTATTATCAAACGCTTTTGTACCTTCAGCTGGTTAACGAGATGACAACTGCAGAATCATTCTTTTTCTTGGCTCGCGAGTCTTCTTACTGTTTTCTGTCCCCAAAAAATAATGGTTTAGCTTAGCAAAGATATCTTGTTCACACAATGCAATTTAATGTAAGTATTTAATGATACATGTAATATGTTAATCTTTTCTTAATGTTTTTTCATTAGTTTTGCGCATGTGTCTGCCAATGCTCCTATTCCTTATGTTCGTCCAAAAATAACTCCTAAAGGTATGCTATGGTAAATAAGTTACCCTTAAGCAAATGAACTAAATTGTCCATTTAAACCAATTATCAGAGAGAAATAACTGTTACTTTTAGTGTAAAGACAATTTTCGTCACTGCAGTTCAGTAGATTCACTGCATTTTTATTTGTTTAATACATAAATAAATACTCCAGCTCTTACTATACTACTTACCATTGATAATACACAGATGAGGCTACAATTATTTCTGCTAAATTCACTTAGTTAAGAGCGACAAATTATCACTGCTTTCATAGTTATCGTTGTGGCAGCCGGAGAACATATTTGCAGCTACTTAACCTGGAGCCCTTACAATTTTTCACAAACCCTTTGGTCGAAAATTTCGCGTCTAAAATTTAAACGGTTAAATTTGACTTCGTGTCAGGAGGACTCTTTACAAGTGTAGCTAAGTCACCTAATGAGACTAAAAATATTAAAGAAAAAGTATCGTTTAACACGGCTATTCATATTTTCTATGGCTACCCAAATGGAACGGCGGGAACCATTTAATTTTCCAATTAGAATGTTCAACAATCTATAGGCCTATTTTAGAGGGATTTTTGTGGTCTTTGGAGCATAACGGTGCTTGTTTATTATGATCTTTTCAAAATTGCTCTTTTGCTCTGTGTTGTATTGCAATAGATCTACTTTTTGTTTATTTGTTGTATAAAGTGTAAAAAAAAAAAAAAACATCAGAAACTTTTTGTTGCGCCTTTTCTATAGAATGTAGAGAAAAAATGGATGAGATTTTGGGACAGATACCAGTGGAACTAAATAAGGTTAGTATTGTCTTCTGGTAAATAAACTTTTCATGTTGTGAGTGAGTATTTCGTAAGCTTAAGTTGGTTATTAAGTATTAGATCCATTTTGCTTTCTATTTTGCTGTGCCATAATACAGGCTGCCAGGGACTTGGGCCTAGAAGCTGGAAAATCAATAAAGCTAGAATCTAACAACCAGTTTGGCTATTTCTTCAGGATAACAAAAAAGGTGACTTAATCTCTCATTTGTGTCATGGTTTAATAATGTGTAATGCTTATAGAAACTATTGTGCCATCCTCAATGTTAATTTTGGTGAATGTCAAATGTTGGTCGAAAAAAACTGAAGTACATAAAAAAAAACTCACGAACCTGTTCAACATCATGCGTTTGGGTGTTCCACTTTGAATTTGATAGAGCGATAAATCTCTCAGAGCAGAGAAGAAAACTAGCCCACATATAATAAACAATCAAATCAAACTCCGACTACATTGGAGGAGGGCAAGGTCGTCTTGTCATTAAGCTGATTCAGTACTCACCAATATAATTTTAAAAAGTTAGGGCAAACTAAGGTACTTGCGTGTCTCAGATGCGTCACAAACTTTTTCAATTTTGTTTGTCAGATTAGCAACCTGCGTACCTAATTAACCCCGTGCTCTATTCATTTTCTAGTGGGCAAAATGATCATTTTTTTTTAATTGGAGAATTACTTTGTCTCCGTGTTTTTATTGTTTGATTCTTGATTCAAATCTGCAGGAGGAAAAAGCACTCAGAAACAGCAAGCGGTTCACTACAATCGACACACGGAAGGATGGAATAAGATGCAACAATTCTGCCCTGCGTCAGCTGAATGAACAGTTCCAAGGTTACAAAGAAACTTACAATGATGTGCAAAGTAAACTGGCCAATGAGGTGATCAAGGTGGCAGGTATATGAAATGTCTTCAGATCAGCTCACAATTTCTCTACACTGTTCTACATATTGGCCGTTTTCACACTAGAGACGGATTCGGAGCTTAAGCAACAACGACGGCAACGCCGACGGCTGCGAAAACGTTACTTAAAAAGTGAGTTCGCGCTGCTTCAAACTTAATCCATCTCGTTAACTTTGCGAAATGTTGGCGAATTTTTCTGGAGTTGAATTCTAAAGGAGTGTATGGTAGTTCAGGAAAAGAGGAAGAAAGTCGTTGTGTTCTGTTCACTCCTCCACAAAACATGAATTTAGGAAGTTTTCTACACTGAAATGTAAAAAACGTGTGATGTACGTGCAAATTGGTGTTTTGCTAATACAAAGCTATTGTATTTTTGCCGCTCTCGTTGCCGTCGCCGTCATCGTTGCTTAAGCTCCCTATTTTCCATCTCAGACAGGTTCTCCGTTGGAAAATTCGCGTCAGATAAGTAATTCCTTTTAATCTGAAAATGGAACGGTTTTAATTTTGGACGAATAATCCGTCTCTATTAAGAAAACGGCCATTATGTTTCTTCTGGCAGTGAAGAGAACGATTTGTTTTAAAAACAATAAAGTTTACTTTGGGGATCGATTCTTTTATTAATCATGACCCGCATGTTTGATTGTACAGCTTATGGGTCAGGACTAAATAGAATCCAGGCTGTAACAATTGCGCATTAAAATCCTTTGCAGCTAAATTTCGCCTTTGAGTAAACGATTAACCGCAAAATGAGGAGAACTCTTTCCAAAATACGCACTTTCCTTTTTTTTGTATCCGCATTGGATTATAACCTTGTACGCATCAGAGCCTTGGGTCTGGTTAAAAAAAAAACAGCTCGGAAAAAAATATGGCCGAAGTTGCCTTGAAAAAGTGTACGTACGTATAAACTGTAGGCGGCTCAAAATGTTATGTTTTTTTTTTTCTGCAGGAGGATACAGTGAACCCATGCAAATGATGAGCGACATCATCGCACAAATTGATGCTTTAATAAGGTGACTTCCCTTCTGATGATGCACCGTGAACTATGACACTCCACTGTAGCATATTTAAAGAGATGTCTGTACCACCGACTGATCACATCGACGTCATTATGTCGTTGAAAATGCACTAGACCCTGATGTGTGTTCCGTCAAGTTATAAAGCACGCGCCTTCATTGTGACGGTCTGTGACCAATACACAAACAGCCTTTTGAGGGGACATATTTAAAGGACAAAGTTATAGAACAGAGCATAATGAACCAGCTAACTTTTTCGTTTAAAAATGCCTTTCAAAACCTCTTAAAAATTTTGGAAGATAGTTAGAATAAAGCCGATACTTGTAATTGATGATGAGTGCAAAACAAAGGGAAAAAACGGACTACTCACAGTATTATGTGAAACAATTATTCCCTGGTAACAGATAACGCACTCTAAACACTAAGCTACTGAGAGACTTATGTTAAGCACTTATATATGTGTATATATATGTGACTCGCTTCTTACATACTGCTTAGATGAGGAATTTTAATGAGTACGGGAAAGTCGTTGATCTGAAACTGAACCTGTCAAGAATGATTAAAACATCTTTTAGTGTAACTAAGCACCCACGGGGGAATGCTTTAGGGTATCTTTAGATCTGGAAATATTTAGCAATTTCAAGCAGTATTATCAAACGCTTTTGTACCTTCAGCTGGTTAACGAGATGACAACTGCAGAATCATTCTTTTTCTTGGCTCGCGAGTCTTCTTACTGTTTTCTGTCCCCAAAAAATAATGGTTTAGCTTAGCAAAGATATCTTGTTCACACAATGCAATTTAATGTAAGTATTTAATGATACATGTAATATGTTAATCTTTTCTTAATGTTTTTTCATTAGTTTTGCGCATGTGTCTGCCAATGCTCCTATTCCTTATGTTCGTCCAAAAATAACTCCTAAAGGTATGCTATGGTAAATAAGTTACCCTTAAGCAAATGAACTAAATTGTCCATTTAAACCAATTATCAGAGAGAAATAACTGTTACTTTTAGTGTAAAGACAATTTTCGTCACTGCAGTTCAGTAGATTCACTGCATTTTTATTTGTTTAATACATAAATAAATACTCCAGCTCTTACTATACTACTTACCATTGATAATACACAGATGAGGCTACAATTATTTCTGCTAAATTCACTTAGTTAAGAGCGACAAATTATCACTGCTTTCATAGTTATCGTTGTGGCAGCCGGAGAACATATTTGCAGCTACTTAACCTGGAGCCCTTACAATTTTTCACAAACCCTTTGGTCGAAAATTTCGCGTCTAAAATTTAAACGGTTAAATTTGACTTCGTGTCAGGAGGACTCTTTACAAGTGTAGCTAAGTCACCTAATGAGACTAAAAATATTAAAGAAAAAGTATCGTTTAACACGGCTATTCATATTTTCTATGGCTACCCAAATGGAACGGCGGGAACCATTTAATTTTCCAATTAGAATGTTCGATTTCCGTTGGAATGGTAAATACCCGTGGTAACATGTTAGAATCTCCCTGTGTAAAGCAACATCTTTCACTACACATTTTTTCATTGTTTAGGGGAAGGGCACATGAAGCTTGAGATGGCTAGGCATCCATGTCTTGAGGTTCAAGATGATGTGGCGTTCATTGCCAATGATATCACACTTGAACGAGGTATAGGAAAACTCTTTAAGTCATGCATGCACACCTCTGTTAACCCTTTGAGTCCTAAGAATGATCAGCATGAAATTTGTCCTTGTAATATCAATGCTTTATAAAGCAAAGTGGTCGTGAGCATTGAGGACATGATCACAAAAGACAAATCTTATTGATACTTCAACAACTTCTCCCCACTACTTTCATAGGCCAACAAATGAGAATTGAATTCTGATATTAGGGTTTAAAGGATTAAGTGGTCATCCTTGGGGAATGGCCCTCTGACTGCTTAATAATGGTTTGACCCTCCTAAAAGAAAGCCACTTAGGTGATTAAGGGATTTTTTATCTCTTTTTCTACCAAAATAAAAGAAAATTCCGACAATTACATGTCATGCAAACATGTATTAAGAAAGATTCCCTAAAATAGGTGTCACCCCAAATCTAGAAACCTTGCTGAATGAACTCTGCAGACACCACAACTAGTACACAGTTATTGACAATGTTCGTTTACGTTTTTTATTGTAGGTGAAAAAGAATTTTTGATTATCACGGGGCCTAACATGGGAGGCAAGTCTACCTACATCAGACAGGTTTGTGTACTGGCTCTCTTCGTTCGAACATAATTGAATCAGTTGCTTTGTGGTATCCAAGTGATAGACTAACATTCCATATGGGTATCGACGCGGTACGCCTTATTTTCTGGGCTACAATGTGTTTGTCATTCAAACGGGATCTTGTTTATTTTTATCCTGTTTTTGTAGTTACATCTCACTGCAATGCATGTTCTGTCTTACTCAGTTTTTGCCCTCTAAGTTCTCGAATACGGTAGAATCCCAGGGTGGTTTAAAAGCATCCGAAGTCACGTATTCCCAAGTAACGTCACATGACGACACGGCTTCTTCGTTCCAAGGGAAGAATGAGTCGATTGGTGTGCACAAATGGGGCAAATCCGGCAATATCTTTGCACAGAAGTGCTTTTAGTAAATGTGTACTTTTAGTTGAGAGAGTAAAATTTGTCAAGTTTTGAGCGTAGATAATGTCGAGAAAGCTTTATTCGATGATTACTTTGTTGGGAAAACCGACTGGGCCCTCAGACGTAATTACTTACGTCTGATGTCCAAACAAAGAATTTGACTCGTATAATGGTTATGTTAAGTCCGAAGTTGGGTTTTGTTCAACTCCAAAATTTGTATGATAATTTATATTTAGCCCTGTTCGGGAGAAAATTTATTAAAATTGCTATTTGGTACGGTTCAGTTTATTCAGTTTCGCATCCTAAGTCCGAGGTCTGACTCAACAGACGATATTAACTTAATGTAGGTCGACCCAAATTAAAATTTGGTTCGTCTAATGAAAAATTCGACCTGTGGCCTAGGCCTTGGTGATATTAATGTTAGTAACCTTTCTCCAGACAGGAGTGATAGTACTGATGGCTCAGCTTGGATGCTTCGTGCCTTGTAACACTGCAGAAGTAACCATCACCGACTGCATTTTAGCTCGAGTGGGGTCTGGAGACAGCCAGTTAAAAGGGGTCTCTACCTTCATGTCAGAAATGCTGGAAACGGCTTCAATATTAAGAGTAAGGGGAAACGTTTAATTTACTTATTGCACTGCGTTTAGCCTCTTCCCAAACCTGCGATCCCAAAGAAAAAGGGAAGGAGGACCGCCTGATCGAAGGTTACCTGTTTTCGTCTTTTCATTGTTGCAACGATTTAAACGACGATAACTTTTTTGTGCACTTTAAATCACCAAAACGGTTCCTGTTTATTCTTACTTGAATTTTTGGTTAACTGGTCATTTTTTGGCTAAATAAATAGTACTGTGTTTTGCCGAGGAATAAATTTGCAAACCCAATCGCGTTTTTCCAATCGTGCATCTCTGAACTTGATAGCCCTCTCCCCTGCAGACGTCTCTTTGTGCCGTAGGGAGACTGGGACGAGGGAAATAGTCTGTGGTCCAAAAAGACCTGCATAGATCCTTTAAAGAAATTCTGCATGTAAAAAAATTTTGCCAAATAAATGCCCCTAATGCATGTTGATTTCCGAAAAACCAATTTACCACTACCAACTGTCGTTTTAATATCAAGGCAGTGGAATTGAAGAGAATACCCAATTACAAATAGTGCAAATGTAAAGAGTGAATACCCTTTAAGTAACAATTTATATATATCTTAGTCTGCTACAGAAAATTCGCTTATCATAATCGATGAACTGGGAAGAGGTACCTCGACTTACGATGGTTTTGGACTTGCCTGGGCAATATCACAGTAAGTTGCCGAACTGTTTTTGTTATTGGTGTTATTTTTTATTTATTTCGTTTTGTTCCGTCAGCGTCACACTGTGAACTGAGCCCCTTTTTGTCTTGTTCTTGATCGAGGAAGAGAGAAGGAGGCTGTGCCCTTTGAAGACTCTACAGCCCAATCTTCTGGACCAGTCAATCTTGTTTTATCTCGTCAAACTAGCTTTTCGAGTGCGAGCATCCAATGGTCATTACTGAGCCCGCTGTACCAAGCGCACGGCTATTACGCCTGGGTTCGAAACCTATTCTACCAACTTGTAGCGCATGCTCAGCAAAGATCTTACTCGATTCGAGTTCGCCAAGGGAGAAGCAACAACGACGGCGATGGTTGCAAAAACGTCACTTAAAAAGTGAATTCGCGCCGCTTCAAACTTTATCGCCCTTATTCCATCTCGTTCAATTCGTCAAATGTTGGCGAACTTTTCTGGAGTTGAATTCTAAAGGACTGTATCAAAAAAAAGAAAAAGAAAGTCGTTGTCTTGTGTTCACGTCCTCCCAGCGTGATATAAGGCACTTGCACGTCATAGTCATGCAAAAACGGCAAAGACATGTACCAAAAAACGTGGTGCACGTGAAATGTTGTTGTTTTGCTTATCGAACCTATTGCTCTTTTGCCGTTCTCGTTGCCGTCTTCATCGTCGTTGCTTAAGCTCCCTAAAAACGAGCAAGGAAAATGAAGGTTCTACTAGCAAGGTGCGTCATCGTGAGCGTTAACGTGTTTCTTGCAAAAAAGAGCCTTCAGTGTTTAAGAAAAGTATGTCTACATAATATTACTACTCGTTCTTTAGGGGCAATAAATCCGCCTGCTTTCGTGACTTAAGCGCCATTTTTCTTATCCACTCATAAGTTTGCATAATTTATCTAGCCTCTGTCATTCTTTAGGTACATCGCTACCAAGATCCAATGTTTTTGTCTCTTCGCAACTCATTTCCATGAACTCACTGCTCTAGCGGATGAAGTTTCAACAGTTACCAACCTACATGTGACAGCTATGACCTCAAGCGGGACTTTAACTCTGCTGTACAAAGTAAAACCCGGTAAGACGATTGAGTTTTAGAATAATCATACCGGCAAGGCTGCAGTATTTTCGGGCAGCTAGAAAAACTGAAGCCGGATTGTATCATCACCACAACTGCCTANAGTAACAATTTATATATATCTTAGTCTGCTACAGAAAATTCGCTTATCATAATCGATGAACTGGGAAGAGGTACCTCGACTTACGATGGTTTTGGACTTGCCTGGGCAATATCACAGTAAGTTGCCGAACTGTTTTTGTTATTGGTGTTATTTTTTATTTATTTCGTTTTGTTCCGTCAGCGTCACACTGTGAACTGAGCCCCTTTTTGTCTTGTTCTTGATCGAGGAAGAGAGAAGGAGGCTGTGCCCTTTGAAGACTCTACAGCCCAATCTTCTGGACCAGTCAATCTTGTTTTATCTCGTCAAACTAGCTTTTCGAGTGCGAGCATCCAATGGTCATTACTGAGCCCGCTGTACCAAGCGCACGGCTATTACGCCTGGGTTCGAAACCTATTCTACCAACTTGTAGCGCATGCTCAGCAAAGATCTTACTCGATTCGAGTTCGCCAAGGGAGAAGCAACAACGACGGCGATGGTTGCAAAAACGTCACTTAAAAAGTGAATTCGCGCCGCTTCAAACTTTATCGCCCTTATTCCATCTCGTTCAATTCGTCAAATGTTGGCGAACTTTTCTGGAGTTGAATTCTAAAGGACTGTATCAAAAAAAAGAAAAAGAAAGTCGTTGTCTTGTGTTCACGTCCTCCCAGCGTGATATAAGGCACTTGCACGTCATAGTCATGCAAAAACGGCAAAGACATGTACCAAAAAACGTGGTGCACGTGAAATGTTGTTGTTTTGCTTATCGAACCTATTGCTCTTTTGCCGTTCTCGTTGCCGTCTTCATCGTCGTTGCTTAAGCTCCCTAAAAACGAGCAAGGAAAATGAAGGTTCTACTAGCAAGGTGCGTCATCGTGAGCGTTAACGTGTTTCTTGCAAAAAAGAGCCTTCAGTGTTTAAGAAAAGTATGTCTACATAATATTACTACTCGTTCTTTAGGGGCAATAAATCCGCCTGCTTTCGTGACTTAAGCGCCATTTTTCTTATCCACTCATAAGTTTGCATAATTTATCTAGCCTCTGTCATTCTTTAGGTACATCGCTACCAAGATCCAATGTTTTTGTCTCTTCGCAACTCATTTCCATGAACTCACTGCTCTAGCGGATGAAGTTTCAACAGTTACCAACCTACATGTGACAGCTATGACCTCAAGCGGGACTTTAACTCTGCTGTACAAAGTAAAACCCGGTAAGACGATTGAGTTTTAGAATAATCATACCGGCAAGGCTGCAGTATTTTCGGGCAGCTAGAAAAACTGAAGCCGGATTGTATCATCACCACAACTGCCTATCAAGAAAAATTGCATTTGCGATTTGTGTAAATGTCTTGAGACAAAAGGAGTTGGAGACAATTCCGCAAAAAGAGCGATTTTATTCTCGAAATTATTAGAACCTAAAATGGTATTTGACCTCCTTCGTTCATTGTGCCATTTTTGACATCTGCCTCAACGATGTCGTATTCTTGTTAGGGACGTTTATATGAGGTGAGCCAGGCAACCCCACTTTACCGGCTTAGCTCAGCTCCTGCCTTGTTTTCTCTCGTTTTGTTTATATGAGAAGGCAGACTGGTCCGCTTGCTGATATCCCGGTTGCTCAAGCCGAGATCTTGGCAAACGGGCCAGCCTGCTTTCTCCTTTAAACACAACGACATTTTTACGAAGAAATAAGACATGAGCTGAGCCAGCTCGGTAAAGCAAGCCAGCCCGGCTAACCGGACTCGCTCACCTCATATAAACAGTCCCTTTCAGGGCTCATTGTCTAATCCTCAGCCAATAAAACCTTGTGCAAAATTATCAAGTCGTATCATTCAGTGTACGTTAAGGTGGAAGCTGTAGAAGCAGTCAATTCGGGAGTGTCATTAGACTTTTAAAGCGATATGTTTATTGAGTGTTGTAGAACTTCAACCTTAACCAACATAACTAACGAGCCAAACATCCACAACGCGCAAACAAGTATGAACCAATCCGGTAATGAAGCAGACTCGCGTAGCAGGCGCCAAGCGCAAAAGGGCGGGAAAATGCGCGAGATGGTTCGTAGATTTTAAAAAATTGTGATGCGAGAACTTTAAGGAAATCACAAAGCGTACCAATAGGAAACCTAAGCAATTTTAATAGTGAATTAATTACATCGTTAGCTCGGCGTGTGAGTTGGATGAAGCAAAAGCGGTTAGGGCGAACGAGCAAGATGGTTCTAACTTTCCCACTCGATCCATGGATTCGACAGGAGACAGGCACTCCGGATCGTATGTTTTCTCTGGTATCAAGACAGGATCGATTCCAACACAAGAAATCTTCTCAAAGTAACGTTTTTTCACGTGGGGACCGAGCGTGTTCGCATAATGTGAGAGAGGATATCCCGCCATGTTGGAAAGTGTGGAACAACAACATGGCAACTCAAATGTCTCGCGAAAAATGTGACGTCATGTGATTAGCTCTATATTATTAATAAGTAATCACATGATTTTTCTCGTGCAATTTGGAATAATTAAACAATTGTAAATTTTTCAAAAACCACAAAGTGCACTCGCCCTACAGGCTCGCGCACTTTTGTTGGGCTTTGAAAGATTTACTCGTGCTTATTTATTCCAAATTACACTCGAAATCAAGTGATTACCTATACAAACCGTTTTCTTTTGGCAATATAAGTAATCTACTATCGACCAAGCTTTTTCGGTCACGTGACGATACTGGATATTGTCCCCGTTCTTTTTGACTCGAAAGTGAACCGCTTTATTCACTATTGATCGATGTGAACACAATTTTTTCTTCTAGTGAAGGTTTCCTCATTGTATTATTTTTTAATGTTTTCTTTTATTTCATTAGTAGTATTATTTTTTTCAGGTGTCTGTGATCAGAGTTTTGGTATCCATGTTGCCGAACTAGCGCACTTTCCAACACGTGTCATTGACGTAAGTGTGACTTTTATTGTTGTGTGGGGGGTTTTGCGGAATGAATGCATTTAACTGAGAAAAATTCGTCAACCTTTACTCTTCCAAAGGTCCAGGAACTGAAAAAGTGAGAAAAAGCTCCAATTCCTATTTTCTAAAATGTTCAAATTTGAAACAAAAAATTACTGCGTGAAAGTACTGCTGAAGAGGTTTCACTTCAATGGACACACCATAGGATTACTTCCACAAACTCAAAAGTAATAACTAGATAGTATGCAATTTATAGTACCGTGTGAGAGTACTGCTGAAGAGGTTTCATTTGAAATGTAACGCCAAGGAATTCCATCGACTTAGCTTAAAGTTATAAGTACATGCTAAAAAGATAGTGCCATGTGTAGGACTAAAGTTAGTGTTCAGTACTGCTGAATAGGTCTTGTTTGAATCGTCGCACCATAGGCTTAAGTCCACAATCAGAAGTTTTTGAGAGGTTCTAAAGCTAATGGGTCAATTAACGTATGTATTTGAAATAACAAATAACAGAAAATGAAATAAGAGAATGTACATAAAACTTATTTTAGATATACGCGGGGAAATCATCAGTTACGATAAAACAAAAGAAAGAGAAAATGCCTTTCAAACATTCCCAGTGCGGCGCGCGCAAACCGTTGGGTACATTGTTAATATCTGTTGTAGTTAGTATTTTAACTCAGGTTGTTTTTGAATTTCTTTTGTTTTTGGCTATGGTAATGTATACTAATGACGTTGAAACAAAGGAAAAATAAACATTAACTGAGGTAAAAAATTAACTACAGCATATACTCTAGAAAAAGCAATGTTCCAAGTATCCTACCTTGAGGTACACCACAATTAATGATGCAAGCAGTTGACAGTTGCCTACGTGCCTTACTTGTCAGCTTAGAAAGATCCTGTCTGTAGATCTTAAGCATACGTCGTAACACGAAAACATAGAATGCCTTGGTGGTAATGAGCAGTTTTCAAACACGATTCTCGCGACAAAAACGTCAGTCAAGCGCTCACTGGGACGTTAACTAGCGTGATTGGAAAAAAGCAAATTTAGTTGTGCTTGCTTAAACACAACACAGCCCTTTGATTAACAAATCACCTGCCAACGTTTTTTTTTTTTGCACACGATATAACGTATTTCAGTTGGTTTGTAATGTTTATTGAATCGGGACGCTTTGATCTATGAAACAAGTCTATGCGCTTAATTGACGACGTGCGTCCCCCGGAAAATAAATTTTAAATCTTGAGTGAAACAAAACTCTGTGCTCTGCATAACAGACTGATACGTGCTTCGCCCTGGAAACAAATTGAAGCCTTCATTGGATCGCTTTGATCTGACGTGTTTAACTGGCAGGGAGCGTCGTTCGAACGACAAAACAAAGCGTTGTTAGGGTCGTAATTCTTATTACCATTTAGGTCGGAACTCTTTGATCTTCCAAACATGCCAATACTCTTAATTAACAATGTGCGTCACTGGGAGAACAAACATAGCTATATTTAGGTCGAAACTCTTTGATCTTCAAAACATGCTAATACCCTTAACTGACAATGTGCAACATTCGAGAAAACAAGTATATCGCTATTTGGGTCGAAACTCATTGATCTTCAAAACATGCCAATACTCTTAATTAACAATGTGCGTCACTGGGAGAACAAACATAGCGCTATTTGGGTCGAAATTCTTTGATCTTCAAAACATGCCAATACCCTCAATTGACAAGGTGCGTCACTGGGATAACAAATAAAGCGCTATTTGGGTCGGAACTCTTTGATCTTCAAAACATGCCAATACTCTTCATTAACAATGTGCGTCACTGGGAGAACAAACAAAGCGCTATTTGGGTCGGAACTCTTTCATCTCCAAAACATGCCAATACCCTTAATTGACAAAATACATCTCTGGGATAACAAATAAAGCGCTATTTGGGTCGAAACTGTTCATCTCCAAAACATGCCAATACCCTTAATTAACAAAATGCGTCACTGGGATAACAAATATAGCGCTATTTGGGTCGAAACTTTATGATCTGCCAAACATGTTAATACCCTTAACTGAGAACATGTTTTGCGACAAAAGAGTCCCGCCCAAATAGCGTTGTATATCCCGAATGACAAACATTCTCAGTTATGGGTATTAACTTGTTTTGCAGATCAAAGAGCGCCACCCAAATAGCACTATGTGTCACGAGCGAATAACATAAATACCTTTAATTACAATTTTTATCATTTGAGTCTACAATTATAGCCCTTTTTTGGTCGGAACAGCACTTTTTTACATACTTGCGTCACCAGGGAGATGAAGTGAAGCCTTAATTTGATCAGGACTCTTTGATCTTATAAAATGCTTCATTGGGGATGCCAAATATTTACTCCTCTCAAGGAGGCTCGCACCCATTTTTCAAGGTCTCACCCCTTCGCTTTTGACGCTTCATAACCTTTGGCTGTTATGCATGTACGAAAAAGCCACTAAGTGAAACAACATGTCTAACATTACCTTGGCAAGATTTGAAAAAGAGTTTTTGAGATATAATGTTCTAAATATAATGGTCTTCTCGTTGTTAACTTGGAATTTGCTTTGCCTTTCTTTATCCACAACAAAAAAGTAGCAAGAAACTGAGTATCATCATCACCGGTCATGAGACCTCCTGGATTTTTGAAACTGTTCCCAGGGGCCCGTTTCTCGAACTTCGTGGTAACTTTAAGGGGTCGGGATAATTCAAGTCCCCGTAAACTTGTCGGGTGTTCCTCTAAATTACAGGTACTTTCGAGAAACGGGCCCCACAAAACCCTAGGGTTTATGGAAACTCAAGGGAAGGCCTGGGGTAAGGATTGTCAAAGGATTTGCGGACCGTTGGACTGGAAGTCGGAAATTGATGAGTTAAGATACAGCACAACAGAGCACAGCAGCTGCCGTGTCCGAAAACGAAGTAGATCTCTCTTCATTTTTACGGTAGCAGGTGGTTCTTTTTTACGGACATAAGAGGCGAATTCACATTATTTTCGCAACAAAAAAAACGATTCAAACACGCGTCACATCAATTACTAAAATTACGATGAACTTAGCATGAAAAAAGAAACACATTAGAGACCCTTACATCCGAAGACGACTGCAGGAACTAGGCTTTCTCAACACTGAGTAGGGCGCGCGCGTTCAACCTCCTCATTAGGGACTTTAAGATCCAACGAGGCGACGGCAGTGAGAACATCGCTTAAAAAGTGAATTTTCGTTCTTTCAGTCTATATCGCAATTATTCCTACCCACTTACTTTGTCAAATGTAGGCGAACCCTCCAGGAGTTGATTTCCCAGGCACCATATCCAAGTACAGTAAGGAAATAAAATTTCGTTGCTGCTTGTTTACGTCCTCCCCGTAAAACGCGAAATTAGGCATTTTCACGTCGTAGTCGTGCAAAAACGGGCAGAGAAATGTACAAAAAGCATGGTGCACGTGCAAAGTTGTTGTTTGCTAATCCACCCTATTGTTTTGTTTTTTTTTTTTGACGTTCTCGTTACCGTCCGCGTCGTTGGATCTTAAAGTCCCTATGTTGGCAGTAAACGCGATAGTCTTCATCATTCTGCTTCGGTTTTTTAGCGAAAATATTGTAGTGACGGAAACTAGTTATCAAATGCTAAAAGTTTTGTCCTTTTGTGATCGGGAAAGGGCTTAACCTCCTTCAATGAAAACAACCATGATAACCTTTTTTGGTGAAAAAAAGTAAAATTAATCTTTCCGGGGATGTCTATTATTTCAGAATACGTGAAAAACTGTTGAGTCATATCTCGTCCTTGTAGTCTTCCTGGTCCTCGAATCTGAAGGTCGCAATTAACACTTCACAAGAATACAAAAAAGGCCCGATCACGGCTCACCAAAATACACCTTACCACCCTAGTTAATAACAAAATTATTAACTGCCACCTGAGGAGCACGGTCTCAAGACCAAGAGAGGTGATAACTTACCATACTGAGAAAAACATAAATTTAATGAAGTCCCCCGCCTTAAAAAGGTTTGGGAAACGGGGTAAGGTTCATTTGAAGAACTGTGCGTACCTGTAAAAAAATTCTAGTCACTCCCCTGCTAACACTTAGCTCCGAAGCTGAGGGGTGTAAGAAAAAAGGGAACGCAATGACACCCAGTGATAAATATGATAAAAATTTGATTTATTTTGTGTTATTCCCGGCAGCCTCGGAGCCAAAGTCCGAATTTTGATAGTTCAGAATTGGCGTATTGGCCGAAAGTCGTTGAAGAGAAGCTTAATTCACAAGTTGCCTCATTAAGGCGAACAAATAAGCGCCAGTTGGGTCGGATCTTTGATCGACAGAACAATACTCTTAATTGACAGTGTGCGTCATTGGGGCGAACAAATAAGCGCCATTTGAACGGAACTCTTTGATCTAAAAAACGTGTCAATACCCTTAATTGACCATGTACGTCATTGGGGCAAACAAATAAGCCCCATTTGAGCGAAATTCTTTAATCTACAAACCGTGCCAATACCGTTAATCGAAGATGTGCGTCATTTGAGCGGAACTGTTTGATCTACAAAAAGGGCCAATACCCTTAATTGACAATGTGCGTCATTGGGGCGAACAAATAAGCGTTATGTGAGTGGAGATCTTTGATTTACACAACGTGCCAATACCCTTAATTGACAATGTGCGTCATTGGGGCGAACAAATAAGCGCCATTTGAGCGGAATTCTTTAATCTTTAAAACGTGTCAATACCTTCATTGACAATGTGCGTCATTGAGGCGAACAAATAAGCGTTATTTGACGGAATTATTCAATCTTCAAAACGTGTCAATACCTTCATTGACAATGTGCGTCATTGGAGCGAACAAATAAGCGTCATTTGAGCGGAATTCTTTAATCTTCAAAACGTGTGAATACCTTAATTGACAATGACGCAGTAACCCCGCTTGTTTATTCGCAGTAAAGAGCGGAATTCTTTATTCTTTAAAACGTGTCAATACCTTCATTGACAATGTGCGTTATTGGGGCGAACAAACAAGCGTTATTTGAGCGGAATTCTTTAATCTTTAAAACGTGTCAATACCTTCATTGACAATGTGCGTCATTGGGGCGAACAAATAAGCGTCATTTGAGCGGAATTCTTTAATCTTTAAAACGTGTCAATACCTTAATTGACAATGTGCGTCATTGGGGCGAACAAATAAGCGTCATTTGAGCGGAGTTCTTTAATTTTTAAAACTTGTCAATACCTTAATTGACAATGTGCGTCATTTGCGCGAACAAATAAGCGTTATTTGAGCGGAATTCTTTAGTCTTCAAGACGTGTCAATACCTTAATTGACAATGTGCGTCATTTGCGCGAACAAATAAGCGTTATTTGAGCGGAAATCTTTGATTTACAAAACGTGCCAACACTTTTAATTGACAATGTGCGTCATTGGGGCGAACAAACAAGCGCAATTTGAGTGGAATTCTTTGATCTACAAAACTTGCCAATGCCCTTTATTCACAATGTGTGTCATTCGGTATCGAATAGTGCTATTTGGGAGAAAACACGCCAATGCGCTTAATTGGTATAGTTCGTTATTTGGTTCGGGACTTTTTGATCAACAAGACGCAGTAACAAACTTAATTGACTTTTTTTTGTCGCCATCGAGATGAAATACAAACCTAACTGGGTCGGAACTTCCTTGATCTTCGAATAATTCCAGAATTTTTAATTGAAAAAGTGCCTCAAATGTTCGGCGTAACAAAGAAAGTTGTTTTGGAGTCGAAGCAACACCATAATACCTTTACTTGACAAATGACGTCATTCTGAGTCTGATTGGCAGCCTCAATTGGGTCAGAAGTCTTCGATCTTCAAACACGTCAAGACGCTTAATTAGCTACGTGCGTCATTTGGGAGGTAAAATGAAGTCTTGATTAGGCTGAACAAGAATGAAATTCAAGGGACATTTGTAGCATTTGCCACATTTGGATGGTGAATTTTAGGTGGAATCATGGATTCACCTAAGTTTGTCGAAGAGTGTATTTCTGTTAAACTAAGAGAAGAAGACCCCATCGTTGGAGAGAAGACAAGATATTCACCTCCTTCAATAGCCAAGAATCGCAAGTTGGATTCAACGGCCGACTACGTTAGCGTCAATGGGAGTTATCACCAGATCACATTGCCGACTCTTTCAGAGGGAAGTAACAAGAGATCCTTTTCCTGCAGCGATGTCTTCAAGATAAAGGGAATGGCCTTCAGGCTTTCCAAAGACAAGATAGACGCATTGGAAACTGACATCTTCAAACCACTGAATTCGTGTGAAATTTTGTTAGCTAGAATAAAGGCCAGCGATTTTAGAGGAATAACGGTCACTTCAATTCATGAACTGAACAGTCTCTAAGCTTTAAGTTATCTGTTTAAATGGCTCTTGTAATCAGTTAAGGTATTTAATGTATGACGTCCGTTCTAAGACAGTTCCTAAAAATCTCGATAAGTTTGCGAAAATCAGTACAAAAGATCATTCTAATACGCGATTATCAGCAAAGAAGTGTTTCTCTGTCAAATTCTCCAGAACTGCAAAATGAGAAAGTCTTTTACTAGAATTGGTGTGTCTGTTTGGAATTTTATTCCACTTTCTGTTGAAACTCTCAACATATATAATTTTTGTAAAAAATAAAATCACTACTCCTTACTCGAGAAAAGGTCTGTCTACTAACTGTTGCTTTTCCTTTTGTGTTTGTTTGTTCTGTTTTGCATTACTGGCGATCTTTAGCCAAAGGGAGTTCAGGACAAACACCAATAGGCCATCTCCGAGTGAAAAAAACTCTCACTTTCAAACACGAGGCCTTTCTTGTGAAAACAAATTTTATTTGTATGAGAATGAAAAATCATTTTCATATCAATGACTATGCACTTAGCCTCGCTTTGAAACAGAGGCTTGGGACAACTCGGAAATGGCTTATTGAAATCGTGACTCTATTGTTTATTGGCTATGACGAAGTTGCTCAGGAAACTGGGTCCAAAATCGTCCCCCAAAACAGTCCTACAATGCACTTCGACACAACACCTACAAGCAACCCCCCCCCCCCCCCCTACCCTCAAATCAAGGATGAAGCAATGCAAAACCCAAAACGCTCCATTTTCCCATCCTTGATTTAAGGGGGGGGGGGGGGGGGGGGCACAAATTTCCAATCTATTTTGTCCAAGATTGTAGCAAGCTGTTTTTTGGTATAGCCTCAAAATTGCCATTTTAGGAATTCGGAAATTTTTTTAATGATTTATTTTCAAAACGCTTTTGGAAAAACTGAACCCCCCCCCCCCCCCCCCCCCCACCTACACTCAAATCAAGGATGAAGCAATGCAAAAGCCAAAACGCTCCATTTTCCCATCCTTGATTTAAGGGGAGGGGTGGGGGGCGGGCACAAATTTCCCATCTATTTTGTCCAAGATTGTAGCAAGCTGTTTTCTAGTATAGCCTCAAAATTGCCAATTTAGGAAATCTGAAAATCTTTTAATGATTTCATTGCAAAACGCATTTGGAAATTTTCTGTCTGAATAAACAATGCTTAATGTTCAACCCGCACAGGCCTCCAATCTGTAATACTCCAACGGAGTATAAACTATCAACGTCCTTAAATTGACTTGCTCCAGTCATGTTTTAGGCCGACTCAACTCCACAGTCAGTCAGTCAGTGCGCGGCCTTCTGTGCGGGAGGTTCCGAGTTCGATTCCCAGGTGTGACCACAAATCCTTGCTTAGACTTCTTTCCTTTCCCTGAAGTTTTAAGTAGCTTTAAATACTCGTGAAACGGAGCACTGATCGAGGTAAAATGAGCGCACTGTCGGCCTCATTTTAGTCAGTTTGAGTACTGTCGGGAGTTACCGACGTAATTTAAAATAGGGACCTTTATCTTAACCTTTCTCTTCTATAGACGTTTTTTATAATAATACACTTTATTTAAAGAGAGTAGCACGGAATAGTTACAGAAACTAGTAAACTTGTGGCCCTCTAAAGTTTTAGCTTGTAAGTTTTGTTTTCCCATTTCAGACCACGTGGTGGTACCCCAGAGAACTGTTTTTTTTCAAATTGCGTCTTATGCAGGTGCATCCAGTTGCCTTCATATGCATAATTAATGAAAAGACAAAAATCAAATTCCCTGGAAAAAAATCACGTGTTCTGAATTGGGAAAACAAAACGTACAAGGTAAAAAGGTGTATTGTTACTTTCTCTCGTCAGTTTGCTAGACAAAAAGCTGCAGAACTGGAAGATTTTCAAGGAAGTACTGCGCCTTTGGGAGAAGGAGTCTTGGGTTAGTCTAAGCAGATGATAAACGCATAAATTGTTTTTAGAGCGGCAATGTTTGTCGCCACCATAATTATAACTAATAGCCGGGTGAAACGTTGACGTTTATTGGCTTCCAAATTCAATGTGTAGAATACTTCGAGTGTTACTCAAAAGTGCAGAAACGTTTTAACTTGAAAAAAAAACCTGATAAGGTTCGTCCCAGGAAAAAATTCCATCGCGAAGTTTTCTACTTCTATCAATACTTGAAGAAACAAAATCCTTTTTATTCTTGTCAACAGAACTGAGTAGTACAGCATTAAGTTGGATGTCACTAACACAAGGAACATGGACGGGTAACAAGCAGAATAACGGGAAAATGGAAAATGAGAACAGGACAAAGAATGGGTGACGAGTTACTGATAGGGCTAGGGTTGACGTCACCTTTTCTTCCTATTTTTCATTTCTCGGCTTCTCCCGTCCCCAGTCCCCCGACCCTGTTCCTCGTTTTATGAAGGTTGGGCTTAGTAACTGCTTACCTGAAAGTAAGAAGGGCTTTGTTTACCCTCACAAACGGTGCCACGGAAAAGTGATGCTCAATAGCTCCACTTACATTGCTGAGTTGAGTTTCGATAAGCTGGGAGAATAAGCAACCACGGCGGCAATGGTAGCGAAAAGGCCTCTTTTAAAAGTGAATTCGCCCTAATTCAACCTTGATTCTAAAGGAATGTTTCTAAAAAAGTTGTTGTCTTGTGTTTATGTCCTCCATACTCGTTTAACAAAGACAAAAAGTGTCCAAAACAGCGTGACGCACATGCAAAGTTGTTGTTTTGCTAATCTAAACCTATTGCTTATTTGCCGTTCTCGTTGCCGTCGCCGTCGTCGTTCCTTAAGTTCCCTATTAAATCCACACTGTCATAAACTTATTTGTGTCTTTTAGACTCGGACAGCGGACTTTCCCCAGCAAAAAGAAGGCGTTTAATCAAGCAGGTAAGTGTAACCTGTGTTCAGGCTTTTATTTCTTAGAGATAATCTTCTTCAGGCCGGATAGTGTTGGGGACTCAAGAATTCATCGTTTGATACGCGTACTATTTATACGAAAATTTCGGTAAAAATTTCCCGATAAATGGGAGTGTTTTTTTTTTCTTTTCGCGTCTGGCGAAGAGCTGTACCATGTACAAAATACTGGTAAATTTTTCGCTTTCTCTTGAGAGGAAGCCTGGCACTGGCAAACAAACAAATTGTACAGAATCGGCCGCTCCGGGAAGGTAATACCTTGGAAGATGTTACGCTTTTCCGAAGCCATTCCACTGGGATAAACGGTTCCATTTGAATTCTCCCGGAATTACCCGATTTTCCGTACTAGTGGTAAGCGCTCCAGTAGTAACGGTCAGTGATAGTGACTATCGTCGGTGAGGCAAACGACAAACGAGCCCTATCATAAACAAGCCGCAATAAATGATCTCATTATATTGGGATGCTTTTGTTTGGCTGTTTGTTGGTACTTTGTTACTTCTTTTCATCCGGTAGTTGCTTTGGTTGGCTGATTCTTGATTAATTAAGGGCTAGATTACTTAAAAAACGGCTGCACTGTTATCTATTTGCCACAACTCGCCTTTTTTTCTTTTTTAGGAAGGGGAAGAAATTATCAAAGATTTTCTAAGTCAGGTTGCGAAGTTACCCATTGAAACCATGACAGACGATCAAACCACGCAGGAAGTATCAAAATTAAAGGAGGAAGTTCTCGCAAGAAATAATCCTTACATACAAGAGCTTTTGGCCAAATAAGAAGCCCTAACGGTCAACGAGCTAGTGTAGTGTTAAACTGTATTCCTAGAGACTCGACGCACTTTACTCAGCGTTTTCGTTGATAATGGCGATAATGCCTTCTTGTCACACAGAGAAAGCAGTGTGTTCTTGGGATGATCTTATGATAGAAAGTGCAACTTACAGTGATAAATGAGATACTACGATGAAGTTTTATAAAGAGATTGTTACAATGACTGTAGAGTTTTTAAAAAGGTAAATAGAAAGAGCACGTTATTCAGAAAAACTAACTACAGCCTGTTTTATTACTCATTAAGGTTTATCAATGAGCAAAAAATGAGCGAAATCGAATATTGAACTTCGTAAAGTCACTTGCGGGCTCTATTCTAGGCAGGCCTTCTCTGTTTTTACTACTGTTAACTTAAAAATGACCGACAACCCAGCAGGACAGTCGTATCGGCACAATAATGTCGTTCCGATACTTCCCTCAAGTCTATGAGCAATGATTGGTTTGTAAACGCATCAATTGTTCACGCAAGACCAATGCTGAATAAGTGGTGCACATTGTCCTCGAAAAACGTCACACCCGCCTCCCAACAACTACGCAGCAGTTTAAAGGAGCTGTGTCACGAAATTCAGTCAAATTAGGAAATTACAAAATGCCCGTTAAATTAAGAGGAACATAAAAATAACTGCTTAAAACTTTAAAGGAAGGTTAAAATAACATAACAGAAATAACAGATGCCACGGATGGGCAAAACTGAAGAAGATTGAAACGGATTGAAATAAGGGTTTTTGAAAACTGTTCATGCTTGCAACTTCAGAAATAACGCTCAGGAGACATATTTGTTTGTCACGGATCTCTGATTTTGTCATTTACATGTAATTTCTTTGCTTACTTTAAGTTCCATAGCGATTGAGGGCGAGTAATTGGCAAAATTAAACAAAATGAACTGGACTGCCGTGACACAGCCCCTTTAATAATCAAAGCGAGAAGATAATTCAGAGTAAAGTACATGACATTACTTGTCCTAAACCAACGACAAACATGTGTTTACAGACACGAAAGAGAATAATTTTTTTTTCAGTTGCAATCAATTTGTGTTTTCCTTATCTTATACTTTAAAACAAGAAAACACTTTTGCTTTTCTTAAACGCTACCTTGATTTGACATTAAGTGAGTAAAAAAAAGCTAAAAGGAATAAATTGGGGAGACTATTTACCATGTTCAAAGTTCTTTTACTTCTCGGCTTAACGTTGGCCAAACTGGATTGGCATTTCTCAATCTTTTATGAAAACCTCCTCTTCCCTCCCCCTCCCCTTTACGGGTCCGTACTTTGAACTAATATAAAAAAAGCAAGGCTGATTTTATAGTCGGGAATATATAAATATTTTTTACCAATATTTGGGAAGGCACGGCCTTCCTTCTTCGCCGTATTGTGCCGCTCTTCTCGCGGCGCCGCCGCAAAATCAATACGGCACTCTTCGGCCGCAAAAACAATATATACAGCACTCTTACGCAAATCCCGCCAGTTACGCAGGCTAAATTTTCTGCAGTTCCGCTTCTTCGTTAAGCTTCCTCCTGTGCATGTTTTCAGTCATTAAATCAGATTTCATTGGATTCGTTTGTGCACGGTGAGTAATTTTTGCGTTGGTTATTCAGCTTATTCATGGTCACAGATTAACTCAGGCTAATTGTTTGTCGTAATTTTGTATAATAGGAAACTGTGTGTGTGCTGATATTAAGACCAACTCGTTCGCCATACACTGATTAAAGAATTTGATCAGCATACTAAATTATCGCTACTGCCATAAGTACTATTCGGTGCATGGTATAGAATCAGGATGACAAAAAGAGTTTATCTGTAATGGTTTTTTCAAAACCGTTATAACTTTCGCGTTAACATCTGAATCAGACAGAAATAGACCTTTTCACGGTTTATGACGCCATCGTGGCTGGGGGCAAACACGGCTAAAATTACAGTGAATGTATGGGATTTTGGCCCACTTGGAATCGCTGTAACACCGCTACAAAGAGGCGGATTTCCAACATTTGCGACTACTTTAAATGGTTTTATTGATATCATTTATTCAACAGAAAATAAGGCTATTAAACAAGGTACGTCGTTCGAACGACGTCCGTAAATTCGGATTATAAATCTTCTCATGTAGCTTCTAATTTCATGGTAATTTGCATAATGTTGATTAAAAGGGTCTGTATAAAATCTTTCAAATCCTTTACGGTCGTTAAAACCTAAACTTTGTCTTTATACTTCATGAAAATAATCTCAGTACAAATCCCATACATTGACTGTAATTGTTCCGTGTTTGCCCCCAGCCTAGCCTCCCACGCAGATGTTCTTAGGGGTTCGTCACGCGTTCCTGCCCCACGAACGTAGCCTGAGTATCAGGCGTTTCTGGGGAAAAGGGGAAAGATGGAAGCGAAAAAGGGAGAGAGCTGAAGGAGAGAAACGCCTAGCCTGAGTATCAGGCCTTCCTAAGGGGCTAGGGGAGAGGACATTTTAGATGGGGGAGGGGGGAAGGGAAGAAGAGAAAGGGCGCGATCCATTCAACCAACATTCAGACCGGTCCGACCGGGAAAAGAGGACCACCTCAAAAGGCGGACCTGTTTTTTCGAAACTTTTCCGGTTGGACCGAACCGATCCATTGGGCGCGATCCATTCAACCAAAATTCAGACCGGTCCGACCGGGAAAAGAGGACCACCTCAAAAGGTGGACCTGTTTTTTCGAAACTTTTCCGGTTGGACCGAACCGATCCATTGAGTTTTGGACCGAAATTTCCGGAAATTTTGGTTGAATGGATCGCGCCCATTGAGTTTTGGACCGAAATTTCCAAAAATTTTGGTTGAATGGATCGCGCCCAAAGGAAGGCCTGACACAAAACCATTCAGCAAATCGTGTGACACATCCAAAATCTGGATGTGGCAGTGATTGGATAACACACAATACCCCCTGACGTCACCGACCGCAAGAGCGATCGGCAAGAAGCCATTGAAATTTTTCATAGGTGTTTTGATTTCATGTTACCGGTATGTGATACTTTTATGGACAGAGACGCAGAGAGGAATTCAAAAAGGCTCTAGAGGGCGCTCTCATGTTCTTTCCTGGAATGAAAATAAAACCCGAGCAAGAATTGTGTTTTCAAGGCCTCGTAGTTTAAAGGAAAGATGTACTCGGAGTATGGAAAAGCCTCATATACCAGCTTCTGCCGAAACTATGTCCGAGTATTGGTTTCACAAGACCGGGACAAAGAAGACGATATCAGTGTTTCAGATGTCTAAGTTCTGATTTACAACATCCTGCCGTTAAAAGGGTATTGGTATTGTAAATGAAAATAGAGCGAGGTAGCCATGTATATTGAGATAGCCGACAGCACCAATGCTTTTAAAAAGCTTGACTTTGCTTGTGGCGGTTACGATAGTGTACGTGATTGGAATTCGTTCGCTTCCTCTTCCAAAATTTTCTCACTTTTGAAATGTCTTAAGCTCAAGCGGGCGCCATCATATTTCGCCAACGGGATTGACCTTTGCTATAGGCTCTCACTTCTTTTTGAACTTGTAACAGCTTTCACGAGCTCTCTGTGAAGTGGTGGAATTTGCTGCTGCTTGATAATTTCTAGGCATAGGTGTTTCACCATCGCACCTTCCTATTTATTCTTGCAGGTCCTTTCAACCACCCGAGAATACGAGAGATAACATCAGCTTTTTAGCTGCCAGACAAGCGCCTGATGTAACACTGTAAACAAAAGCAATTTACCATTTTCCGGGCACACGTTTATTTACAAACAGAGCGTTGACGATCTTACACTAGCACAATTCCTAAAACATGTTATAATTCCTCAAAAACGGCAGGTTTTACATTACAAGTATTCGAAAACTCCTCACTGGAGGTTTCAGAAAAAAGCGAAATCGTAGCAACACAAGCACCGGAGCTC